GGAAACTGTCAGACCGGGAGCTTTATTCTCAAACTCAGATAAACAAGAATATTTTGTTGTCATTTCAAAGTTGGCAGAAACCGCCATCAGGCTGATGATTGAAGGTTCGGACAAGAGCTTCCTTCTTTATAAACTTGATCTGGTTATTCTACATGATTGAACATAAATTCCGGCTAATAAAATATACGGTTGCGAAAACATGGTGTGCTGGAACTAATAATGACCCTGATGGCCGTACTTCTAATTGATATCACTGTGACACATTTTCCAACATTAAAATCTTGAAAAAAAAACCGGCACCGGAATATTGAATTATTTAATCAAAAACCTTCAAAACCCAGCTATGGTTTTTCTTCTACCATCATAAGTTTTCAGATTTTGGCAGTCCCGATTGGTCCAAGATTTTAGTGCTGCACAGTCTATTCTATTACGAATACGTTTTCCAACACACAATCATCTAGTACAATGATGATTATCGACTTAAAAAGTTATCCCTAAATTGTGGATAAAGTCGTTTGGCCACCCGCCAAACATTAAGCGGGATGTGGTCTGAAAAGATGTTGTTAATTCACCAGGAGTCAGGATTGCAAAATTATATCTATTCAACCGCATTCAAAAATACCGAAAATTGGTCTAATCCTTCTTTGTATGTGGCTATGTCTGTCTGCTGGAGTGATGTTTCCTACCTACGAGAACTCGGAATGCCAAAATATGACATTTCGGTGGGGAAATTCGCTTATAACTTTGAATACACCGAAAATCAAGTGGAGAGTTTTTTTGCGAAATGTCAAAATTTTGAAATTTTGGAAATTTTTTTCTGCAAATGTGTTAAAACCTCCAAGAACACAATTGGAGTCGCATAATTGGGAAAATGCGAATAAAATACTCAAACTACAAATAGTGGGCAGGGTTTTTATGCAGATACAACGTCAAAATTTGGAAAATGCCGAAAATTAGGCGAGGTACTTTATATGGAGAGGCAATGTTTTTTCAATATCTGCAAAAATGGTTGATCCATCTTTAAAAAATCGATGTAGGTTAGTTAAGAATATTGCAATGAACACAGTTTGGATGAAATTTGGATATTACGTTCGCTTTATATAAGATTTATAAGTTTTAAAAATGTTGACCCTTTGTGGGAAATGTACTAGAAGGAGTGAACCGATAAGGCTACCAATTCTGCTATAAGAAGAACTCCAGATCTTCTAAAATAGCTTCAGCTAATCTATAAGAAGACTTCCAAGACTTTTCTATAAGAAGACCTCCAGTTCCTTTATAAGAACATCTCCAGCTCTTCTATAAGAAGACTACCAGCTCTTCAATAAGACCTCCAACTCTTCGATGAAATGACTTCCAGCTCTTCTATAAGAAGAAATCCAGCTTTTCTATAGTAAAATTTGGGTTTGAAGGAAAAGTTACAATGTGCACAGTTTGAATCAAATCGGAACTTCTATTAGCCTAATATTGTATTTATTAATGTTGAAAATGTTGACCATTTGTGTGGAGGCAGCAGTAGTAGTGGACCAATGGGTCTCATCTTCAGAATTAATCTAGGCTTGACAATTTATCCATTTTGTGGGACTGGTGCCAGAAGGAGTAGACAGATTGTTTAAATACTGCTTTTTATTCTCAAACATTTTTTCTTAGGTACTACTTAAACTAATCTTGCCTAGCCTAATCATAAACACACAATACTTATGAATAAAATCTCTAAATGCGTTTTTGCATAAAATAGGCCTGTCCCAGACGAATTTATAGGTAGGTGTGCGATGACTGAATACTTGGTTCCTGAGGGGTGGAGAACATCGATCGATATACGCAATTGTACGGCCGATCAGAAAGTCGAAAGTTTATTAGAGACCTAAGGTTATATCTATAGGAGACCGTCAGAAATCATTCTACCTACAGAAGACCTAAAGTAGATCTTCTATCTACAGAAGAATTTCCGAAGACCTTGTATTTATAAAAGACCATCAGAGAGCCCACTGAAAGCCACATTGAAGGTCTTCTATTTACAAAAGACCCTCTAAAGCATCTATAGAATATGGTCATCAATGTTAAAATAAATCTTTCATCTATTAAAGACCCTTAGACAGCGTTCAGAATGTCTTCTGCTTAGAAAGTTTTCTGGCTATATAAGGTCCATAAAACGCCTGCTGTCAGCATGGGAGCCTTACTATGACATCTGTCTACAGCAGACCCTTTGAAGATCATCTAATTATAAATATTAAAAAAACCCCTTAGAAGGATTCCTGTCGATGGAAAATCCTTAGAACCTCTTCTGTCCTTAGAACGGCATCAATGTATAACAGTTTATAAACTTATAGAAGAATATCTAAAGGACTTATGTGTCTAGAAAATCATTAGTTTTCAATCACTCCTGGAAAAGGGGACCGAAAAGACCCCTTTAATGAGTCGATTGAGGATTAAAGTTGCATACCAAAATATTCCTCGATATTTTATCAGTAATATTGCCCAAGACACTATATACCTAAAATGCAAGGATTTCAAGAAATCATAATTCAAAAATGATCAAAATTCTTGAAAAGGCGGAATATTGCATCGCCTTTTTTGGTTACCTCCCGACGTAAACTTGCAAAACGCCGATACACGTGTCTTCTTTTTTAGCCCCTCTTTCATAATCTGTTGGAATTTCCCGGTAATCGGTAATCGGACCACAACACGTAGCGGATCAAATGGGCCAATAATAATGTTGTGGTAAGTCTTATGGTGCAATAGAATAATGGAACATATCACACACTGCTATTCACCTAAACCCGGCTGTATTGACCCAAAGTGCAAGTGAATATGAATGGCAAGAAGAAATATTTTCGTTTCTTAAATATTTAAATGCAATTTTTGCTCATATCAAAAATGTACAAAAACAACAACGCGAACGAAATGAAACAAATAATCCTTGTGCAATGATGCTAAGTGCTGGTAAAGCTGCCCCGCTACCGATGAAGATGGAAAAGAGAAGCGAAATAAAAAGAACAAAAAAAACTTATGGATGATTTGCATATTCTTGTGTAAATATTATGCATATGGAGGATTCTACCGTTCTGTTTTTTTCTTTCTTCATCTTCATTCATTCAGTTATTCCTTCGATTTCATTGCTTTGGCGTTTTTTGCATGCAACACAATGCAGCATTCACATCAAATCACATCTCGAAGAAAGAAAACATAAGTTCTTGTTGTAGAAGAAACGACAACAACAATGCCATGAGGCAATGGATAGGACGATGATAGAGAAACAGGAAATGGATAGCCTTGCTGTTGTTGTTGTTGCTTTTGTATTTAGTCCAAGATTTCTTGGTTGGGCTGGGCTGTTCCATTATGAAATTAACACGCATCAAAGGAGGACGATGCTGATGCTGTTGTTGAGTAATTCGAAATGATAACAACAAGGACCTACAACAAGAACAACAATAAAACTAAAATTAAGGATGTTTTGTAGTGCATACATATGCAGCAGCAATGGGTAGATAAAACAGGAGTGCTTAGTGCCACAAAAGGAATCCTTGATAAATTACACAATCGTTAGCACAGTTCGCTTAGAAATCTTTCGCTGGCCGTTGAAACTTAAAAAAAAAGAAACAACAACACTACAATAAAATAATAATCAAAATAATAAAGAAATGTGCATTGTCCAACAACAGCAGCAGCAACAACAACAACATTCCATTGAAGAATACATATGTCCTTTTTGTTGTCTGTAGTACAAAGAATATATATCCAAACATAAAACAACAACAACAACTCCGATTCATATGAAATATGATGCTGCATGCAGCAGCAATTGTAAAACGCAAAGGCGGCGAGTCATGGGGAAAGCTTTATGTTCTGTTGTTGCACATTCAGTCTGGGCAGACAAAGAGACCAGCGCACGGACGGACGGACATGGAAAACCACTAAAACCCCATTAAAATTAAAACCAACTCAGAGATATGAATGAATGACCGAACGCAGCACAAACAAATAATCGTTACAAATTCTTGTGTAGATTATGGGAAAATAATTTTTTAAATAGTCCGAAGCTTTAATGTAAAATTATTTTTAAAGATATACACAATAAAATATGAGATGTGTGGTCCTGCTGAACTTCTCATACCCTCCCACCATGAAGTGCACAATCAAAATACATGAAATCGATCGGGATTGACTGTCAGGGAAATTTTGTTTCCTCTAAGACAACGAAAAGCCAAATTGCAGAATTTCAAGTTGGAAAATTGTGGGCAAAACATTTAATATACTGTGCATATGGGGGCTATGTCAAAACATGGACCTATATAAACTATTTCGGCCTCGATATTTTATCCTCTGTTAAAACGAAATGTCAAATTACATACACTCAGGCTGGGTAAATTTAGCTAAGATCTCCGGCATACCGAAAAGCGGTGGAACGTTTTATGAGGTCTATGTCAGAACATAGATCTATATTGAAAATACTTTGCGAATTTTTATAGAAGAAATGCGCGTAATGCAAAATACCTAAACCGGCGCGTTTTCTTCAAAATTTTGGGTTATGTAAAAAATTGGTTCTATATTTCTGCAATAATGTTTTTCACCTTCAAAGAATTATTGTCAAATTACAACTACAGGGTGAGATGAAAAAACTGCAACCAACTTCAGACTGCTGTCATTTCTAAGCTACTCGTCCGAAAGCTGTTAAATTTTTTCCAGTTTTTTTTTCAAGCTCATTATATTGTTTACAAGCGTACACAAGCATTTTGGTAAGAATTTTCCAGAAAAAAGTTATTCGTGATGGAACAGACAGAAAATAGACTGAAAAGAGCTAAAGAGCATGGCCGAAAGTGGTGAACTGCCGAATTTGGTTTTCTTCGATGAGAAAACATTCGTTGTCCAGCAGTTTGTAAACAAACAAAATGATCGTGTTTACATGCCAAAGATGTTGGTTGGCCACCAAAACTCAAGCACCGGCCATGTGGGCCACCAAAAATGCCGATGATAGCTCTTCGCTCGTATTAATCGATTATCATCAGAATAAATGCTGAATATTATCGCGAAAATATTCTAGAGGGTGTATTAAAGCCTTGGGCACGCAAACATTTTGGCCGCAGACCTTGGACATTCCAACAGGACCATCCCGAGTACGATGGTGGACGCGCCACCCAAGAATGGTTAGAAAATGAGGTTCCTCGCTTCATTTCCAGCGCACAATGGCCACCAACATCTCCTGATACCAATCCGTTGGACTATTGTGTCTGGAGTATTTTGGAAATCATGGTTTACACTAAAAAACACGAAAGTGTCGATCACCTCAATCAAGCCCTTCGCCGGGAATGAGCCAAAATACCGCAGAGAAACAATCGGGCAACGTGTGATGGTTTCATTGGCCGTTTGAAGGCCATAATTCGCGCCAAAGGTGACTAATTCCAACAAATCTAAACTTATTCTATAATTTGACGCTATTTCCGACATTTTTGCTTTCATTCAATAAAATTTAAAAAAAGTCTAAAAATTATGGCGAAATGCTAATTTACATTGGGTGCTGTAGTCGTGGTATACTATGCGAATAAACGGAATGGCATGAATAAATCACCATAGAAGTTTATTCCGATCAAGAATATATGGGATCTACGACAAATATATCGAGATTTTCAAAATAATTGACCAATAGCTTTTATCATTGAGGTCATTTTATGTGTATAGAACATCCTCGTTAAGGTCTGACGGGTATTGAAGAGCCCTTCATCAGGTTTCATATATACAGAAGATCTTCCAGAGGATTTCTGTAAACTGAAGATTACCCAAAGCTTCTTAATAGACAGAAGGCGCTATAGAGATATTCTACAGACCCAATATCTTCCATAGGTATTCTATAGATAACAGTTCCTTTCAGTTTAAAAGACCGTGTTCCCAGATGTAGCCGTCCACTTGATCTTTCCAACCATCAGTTAGCTCGCTATTATATACCTTTTGAGCTGGGGCATCCTCATCCATTCTCACGACATGACCTAGCCAACGTAGTGGCTGCAGCTCGATTCGTCTGACCCTGTCTATGTCATGGTTAATTCAACGGCGATATTGACCGCCGACACAGATCGCCCCACAGCTCTTTCGGAAATTTTTTCTCTCAAACACTCCAAGAGCTGTCTCATCTGCTTGCATAAGTACCCATTCTTCAGCTCATACAACTTACTTACCTACATAGCTGGCCTGTAAAAGAACTTTCGTTCTATAAGCCAAACTTAAAAAAGATTTCAGGCGCGTCGGTCTTTTGTGCAGTTTTTCCAATTTGAAAAACCACGTTCGGCAATGTTGTCATTCACTTGATCTATCCATCTAATTATTGGCCTTTGCCTTCTGCGTGAACCATCAACTGGTTTGCATTTATATGCTCTTTGAGCTGTAGCATACTCATCCATTCTCACAACATGACTTAGCCCACGTAGTCGCTGCAGCTCGATACGTGTGACCATGTCGACGTTCGAGAATATATGGTAAACTCATGGTTCATTCGAGGCGATATTCACCATCAAAGCAGATCGGTCCATAGATCTTTCGCAGAAAATTTTTGTCGAACACTCTAAGAGATGCCTCATCTGCTTGCGTAAGTACCCATGCTTCAGATCCATATACAGCACGCGTAGTATCAGCGGGATGGGAAGAAGTGGACCAAGGTTGGGTGGGCTGAGTGGGTGTTCTGAACACCAAGGAACCCAAGAAACCACCTAGAATGTTCTCTGTATAATTGATGTTGTCCTGTGTAAGTGTTTGTTTATTTTTTGTCCTAAAAGAAGATTATAAAAAATGTGATGTTAGACCAGGCGTTGGTTTGGCGGTTGAGAACCTCCCTGAGTTCCGAAGAGCTATCGGAAGGCCAAACTGATGGGTACAAGAGGTTATAACAGTAACTGTTTACTTAGAACATAGTAGCATATATTGGCCAATGCCATTAGCTTTATTTATGGCGGTATCAATGTATATAAAATCTTTGACTACTTCAAAAATGTAGTTCTCAAGTTCCACAGTTGGTCCGAGTCTACTGAACGTCTTGCGCGTTGATACCATCTGCTTGGTCTTCTCTTGATTTACTGCCAAACCCAATTTGGCAGACTCTTTCTCAATTTGTTCAAAGGTGGCTGTTACCTCTCTCAATGTTTGACCCATTATGTCGATGTTCTGTTTGCTAAACAGAGTGTAATTTCTGTTCATTTTTGCCTATCGTATGACCTTTTTCCAGCAGGACTTTAAAAAGATCACACGACAAACTGTCACATTTTCTGAGTAATCGCGTTCGCTATTAAAGGGCCCCGTTAGGTTCTTTCCGAATTTAACAGCTGACCTTGTGCCATCAATGCCGAACGCAGACATGGCTTTAAATATATCTGAACGGATAGGGCTGTCGAATGCGGCTTTATAGTCGACGAATAGTGGAAATGTGTCAATGTGCATTTCGTGGATCTTTTGCAGGATTTGGCGCAGAGTGAAAATCTGGACAATGGTGCATTTGACATGCATGAAGCCACATTGGTATGGTTCAATAATGTCATTGACCATTGACTTCAGTCGTTCACACAGCACGCTGGATAGTACTTTATATGCGATGGGAAGGAGACTTATTACTCTATAGTTGGCACATATCGTCTTGTGTCCTTTTTGGTGCACGGGACACAGGATGCTGAGGTTCCAATCATTGGACATACATTCCACTAACCAAATTGTACTAATCAGCTGGTGCCTGCTCATGAACTGCATCTCAGCACCAGCCTTTAATAGTTTGGCTGAAATTCCATCGACACCTGCTGCTCTATTCTTCAGCGGATTAATTGCTACTCTGACCTAATATTGGCTAGGTGGTATACACTCTATATCGTCATCTCTCATTGGTTTTTCAAAATGCTCCTTCCAGATCCTCAGCACGCTATCTGTATCTGTCACCAGGTTTCCTTCTTCATCTCTACAGGAGGATGTGCCTGCACCAAAGCCTTCGTTTGGTGTTTTACTATTTGGTAAAATTTTTGGGACTTCATTCTGACTCCTGTACATCTCGATTTGCTCACGCTAACGTTTTTCTTGTTCTTTCTTCTTTTTTCTCAAAACACGTTTCTCCTCCTACCTGTTGTGTTTGCAGCTTTTCGACGTCGAGTTTCCGTGTTACATTAGATCGAACCTTTGCTACTACTACTTCCGTCTATCACAACATGGTCAATTTGATTTCTCGTTGCTTGATCAGGAGTAATCCTGGTGGCCTTGTGTATATCGAGATGCTTGAATCTGGTGCTATTAACTACCATGTTTTTTGCTGCCGCGAAGTTCATTTATGGAGGCTGAATTTTCCGACAGTGGGACCAAAAATATTTTCCCTTCCGATTTTAGCATTAAAATCTCCTAGTAGATTTTTAATGACAAGGCCAGGGCAGCGGTCATATGCAATTTCTAGGCGCTCGTAAAAATGTCTTTGGTCTGTTCATCTTTGGCGTGGATTTTTAAAGAATATTACACCACCTTGTCCAAATACGGTAAGCATCCGTTGTTCTCTTTCTGTTTAAAACAGTCAAGGTATCTGTTATCACATCTTCCCCCAGTATCACAAAAAGATCGTCAACATATTCTTCTTTTTTAGGTACTCGACAGATATTCTTACACACTTTCCAACTACAAAACTTAGCTACACTTTAACTTTTATCTAAAGTCATAGATACTTGAAACTTTACATAAGTCTAGTGAACACACACACTCAACAAAAAAACACCACTTTGCTATGACCTGGCTGCAACTATTTTCTTGGCAACGGGACAATACGACAAGATAGATAGATTTTCATATCTACCAGTACAAATTGAACGCATTTTAACTAATTTCTTGGCAAACGACTTTCAAATGGACAACAACAGCAGCAGCAGAAAAACGAGTAGAAAAGACACCTAACGAAAATCAGGGCTGCAAAGCACGAACATTTTTGCTTTTTTTGTTAGGGGGGATACACGTTGAAAAATTACTGGTACTAAATCAGCCATGGAAAAGCACACAATTGAAAGAAACCCCTCAAATCTAAAATCTCGTCGAAAAAAGGAAAAACGAGATGACAAAGAATATGCAGCAGCAGCAGTTCATAAAAAATCTGAAAAAAATATTATGCAGAATAAATCGAAGAAGATAAAAAAGAAGAAGAAAATAAACTCCCCAAGGAGGAAGATGGTGTACTAGAATTTGAAAATGAAGAAGCAAAGAAAAAAACTCAGTTTTTTTTTTTTTTTTTTGAAAGGAGCATTCAAAACAAAAAAGTCGAATCAAGGCGAATGTTCTCTGTTCTAACAAAAAACCGGGCAACAGCACGGCAAAGAAGCACCATTACCATTTACGACGTGACAAGTGGGCAGACAAGCCAGGCAGCCAACCAACCGGGCAGCCCAGTCAGTTGTCGAGCAGACAACCGGACAGATATGAAGAATTTCGTGTTTTGCTTCAAAACTCAATTCTGATTTCAGAGGGAAATGGAAAGGAACTTTCAAAAAAACCAAAGGAGACAGCCAGTTAGACAGAGTGGCAGGCAGGCTGGCAAGCAAGCAGACAGTCAGATTGCCCAGACGTTCTAGTCACATTTCAAACAACCAACCAGCCAAAAATAAAAGAATGCAAATGATTGGCATGGGGCTGGCATTTTCAAGAGTTCTTTTTAAGGTTTCATGAAATTTTAGACCTTTTTAAAACTAAATCTACTCTCCAACCCGAAAAATTCAACTGCTCCATTCCATTGTCGCTTTTTGTTTTTGCTGTTTTTGTAGGGGGCCGAAATCAAACCAGCAGAAGTCACAACTAATGTTTGACACAAAAGCAAAAACTTAAATGAACCAAAAACAAAAACTACAATAACAACAACAAAAGTAAAAACCAAAAAACAACAAAAATATAGAATCCAAAAATAACAAAAAGTTTTGCAAAAGAGCATTTGCCTCGCGAAAATGCACAAAACAAAGAGTGAAACTGCAAAAAAGCTAAACAAAAATATAATCGGTCAAGGATGACGAAGTGGGATACTCTATAGGCATGTGGAAAATGCTAACGGACTTATTGTAGATAGAAGACCTTTAGAGGGATATGTTTTTATAGAGGACCTTCTGAGGATATTTTATATATAAAAACCGTTCTAAGGATGTCTAAAACAGGAGTCGATTTCATTGAAGAAGACTTTCTGAGAGCTTTCTAAATTCCGTTAATATGTTTTCTCTTTAGGGACTTCAGGGCAGAACACCTTCTGAAAGTTTTTTTTAAATTGAGGTCCATTTGAGGGTCTTCTAAAGGTAGAAAGCCTTGAAAGGATTTTCTGTATACAACATTTCTTTAGATATTCCTCTAATGGTCTTCCATCACCAGAAAAAAACTTCTTAGTGACTTTCAAATATTTGTCTATAGTTAGAAGATTTTCAAAGGGCCTCCTATAGACAGCATACCTTCTAAGGTTCCTATGCTGACAGAGGACGTTTTACGCATCTTCTATAACAAGAAACCCATG